CGCTCGTGAATATTCATATTTCATATGTACCGTTTTTCGAACGGCGAACGACAATCCATCCACTGTTCGGATACATGCAACACCGAACGAACAATCTCAAACAGCCCAACTCTCGTCACCCCATCGAAATTTATTACGTCCACCAAAACAATTTATTATATCCCCATCATTTACTTAACAACATTCGTCGTTAATTTTATTTTACACATTGAAAATTTATTGCATTTACCAAAACAAATTTATTAGTTCGTTCTCCATCGTTTATTTACCAGCACCCGACTCTAGACGTTTATCATTAATTTTACAAATATCCTGGGGCGAGTGTAATTGAAAATTTCGTTTACTCGCGAATCTAACGTTTTCGTACGTTATTTGCTAACAAAATTTCCCCGAATTCCCGGTTAACGAGGGAAAATTTTGCGTTCGTTAGTCGCGAATAAAATTCGTCCAACTCCGTTCCCGACCGCATCAGCGAATTCGAATTTCGTAATTCGACGATCGCCTCTCTTCGTTTTCACCCCTCCCACGGTGGGGGGAATTATCATCGTGCTCGCGAACAATCGCAGCGAATCATTAGACGGCGAGAGTGAGTCGCGGGTATGTGTCAACACCGGCAAATGGATCGCGTATCTGCAGGTTGTAATTAAGTTTCGCGTAATTGCATTCGTCGATAGCGACGCAATTCCCCCCCGGTTTCCATTCAACGAGGGTTAAAATTAACAACTACGTCGATTCTTTTTTTCCCTCTCCCCCACTACCGGCGAAACGACCACCACCCCCCGATCGAACCGACGAATCGATAATCGTATCGTCGGGTATCGTTGCAAAACGAACGAGCCGCGTCCGTGACTTTTGCACTTCGGGCGTCAGGTTCGCGCGAAATTTATGGAATCGTCCGTAAGGAAATTGGAAACGTTTTGCGACGTCCATCGAAAAGAGGAAACCCCAGGAAATTAAAAAAAAATCCATTCAAGTCCGTCCGCGACGAAAAATCATTTTTCGTTCGCGCTGAATTCCGGTTACAGGGGGGAGGGGGGGGGTTGAAATCACCCCTTGACGTAAAGTTATATTTTTTAGTCTCGCGGAGAGGTATTTACATAAAAACGTTCGTCGAGATCGAATCGTTTGTTACATATGCAAAGCCGTGTGTCAAAATTTATTTAAAATTTTTTCGATAACTATCGTTAATTTTTTTTTTTTCAAGGGGGTGATTTGACTTTTTACAAATTATATGGTTGTTGATATAATTACTTTTTTAAGTCTCTTCGACAGTATTCAGGATTGCTCTGATCGTTGAAATCGTTCTAGGTTCGCGATAATAAAATGGCGGACCGTAGCGGGGGCACCGATAAGGTCTCTCTGACGATTAAATTATGCGCGAGATTTTCTCTAAGCGTTCGCCGTTAGTTCCGTCGCGCTTACGAAACGATTAAACCGTCGTATTTTCCCGGTCTCTCGAATAAAGGGCGGGTACGAATCGCCCCCCGGAATTTTCAAACGTGATTCGCCGGGTCGCCCCTTAAATCGTGGAAATCCGCGGAACGCTGACCAGAGGGGTCGAGTTCGAGGCAGATCGATATATCGCCGCGAAACTCGAACGTTTTGGCACGATACGGCGGCCGATTGCCAACTTCCAGACGTTCCACGTTCTCGCGTTATCGGGGTTCGATAGTTGCACCGCGCATAAACGAGGTATCGAACAATGAACACGTTTCTGTCTTCCGATCGACGTCCCCGATACGACGAGTATTTATTGTTAGCCCGTTTCGAGGATCAGATTAATCCTTTCCGTCCTGAACGAATTATTTTCATTAGAAAAAATATCCCTTGGTCGCTTACAAAACGTCCAAACTTAAAGTCTAACAATCAAGTTTAAAACAAAAAGATATTAGTATCAATTAATGCCCAAAACAGTGTAAATAATGATATATAATTCAAAGTCTTTGAATCGAGGACCTCTATGGTGGCGGCCATGTTGGGCATAACCTAAATATAATATTACTTACGAAAAAAATTGCCAAGCGGGTTAACTAATCATAAAATTTACGTGGTCGCTTACAAAATCTCCAAACTTAAAGTCTAACAATCAAATTTAAACAAAACAAAAAAATATTAGTATCAATCAATGCCCAAAACAGTATAAATAATGATATATAATTCAAAGTCTTCGAACCGAGGACCTCTGTGGTGGCGGCCATGTTGGACATAACCTAAACATAATTTTATTTATGAAAAAAATTGCCAAGCGAGTTAACTAATCACGAAATTTACGGTGGTCGCTTACAAAATCTCAAAACTTAAAGTCTAACAATCAAATTTAAATAAAACAAAAAAATATTAGTATCAATCAATACCCAAAACAGTGTAAATAACAATATATAATTCAAAGTCTTTGAACCGAGGACCCCTATGGTGGCGGCCATGTTGGACATAACCTAAATATAATTTTACTTACGAAAAAAATTGTGAAGCAAGTTAACTGATCACGAAAATTTAGAAATGATAATGGAATAACAAACAGTTTACGTATTTTTATGTTTGTTTTGTGATTTTATTCGCGCACCCCATGTCATAATAGTCATTTTACCAGTCGTTTGGCAACATTAGCGTACAAAGTTGCGAAACAGCTTGAGTACGTCTTATATAAAGAATTATATTTATCCTAGAACCAACACGTCCGCAGAGGTACATTTTCCAGATTGTATACCAAATTTAGAATCGGACACTAATGTTACTCGAAAGTGCAAGCCACGTTAGAATGCAGAGTTTCTTAAAGAACAAAAACATTGGCGTAGCATCTTCCTTTAAACAATACCATTTGCAATAAAACATAGATTACCTTTATCTTTTCAATTTTGTTTTGTTCCTATATCGTATCGAATACAAATATTTTATATAAACTGTTATCGTTTCTTTCCTGTTAAAAGTAATAATAATGCTTATAGTAGGAAGAGTTAGCTTGACACTGGAATTAGTATTACTAGTATCCAGCGGAAAAATTATCAGTTTCTATCTAGAAGTTAGATAGTTGAGATAGGTTTTATCGAAATGGCAATTTATTGCAACATTGCGTGGGCGGATATCCACTGCACTCACGGCCGAGCTAACGCAAACTGCAATGAACTTCAAAGCTTCTATAGTTAAACTTTTCTTTGACGATAATGCACTGCACGAAATACTTGCAGCGCTATTCGTTATTGAATTAATTAAAATGTCTCGTTTCTCTGGTTCGTGAAACGTTGTTTGCGTTTCACGTAGTACGAAAGAGTTTGACTGCATGGTGGTATTCCGTGATGTGATTAAGATGAGAATATTGTTTTAGTTCCACACTTGGTTTGTTTGCATTGCTTTGGTCGAATTACGAACATCGTTTCCCCTTTCGTGTGTGCTTTACATTTTTTTATTTCCACAAGTCTGAACATTAAATTGAATAATTGACAGACTTTCTAGAATTCGATACTTTGTTTGAATGCAGTCGAACACAGTTTGAAAATGTTTGTTTACCTATCACTTTGCGTGGTATTTCGTGACAGAAATGCTTGCAAACCTCTTCAGGGGCGTCTCGATACAACAAGTTAAATGAAAAATGAAAAGTAAGAAAGAAGAAATGAGAACGGTCCCTACCATTCATCCCAACGGGCACAATGAGGCTTCTGTAGAAGCAAGGAGATACAGAACTCAGCTGCCAGCGGCGTGTAATTCACTGCTGGTGGCATTATAATAGGCGTGTCGCTTTAAAAACTTCTGTGTTCGATCGGCTCTCCGCCATGCGTGAGTATCGGTGTTGCGGTCTTTCAGGAGAGCCCGATAGAGCAGCATATTGTACGTTGCAGGGGGATTGAGTGTCCTTAGAAGTATAACATCTATTATGGGAATCTCGATAATCGAACGTTTTTCAGGGATAAGCGGTTCCGAAAGTTCCCGGTCATCTATTCGCCACATTCGATATCCCAGAATCCCTCGAAACCGTCCAGGAAATCTTTCTCAATGAAACTTTGAGCGACACGGACGTCAAATAAAATTAGAAAAATAAATTACACGCGAATAAACTTCCATGGATATAATTAACGAACGTACTTCTGGATTGTTACTTGCTTCTTGAATTTCTCACCTTTCGTGCTTTCACCGTTTCCTTTGACTCGGTTACAGTTCCCGGCGTGTAATTCATTTAATTTCCACCTACCGCGTTGAATTCTCTACCACCTGTTTATTGTTTTTCCACGTTCAAAGAAAATCCCTTTGTCTAGCATAAATTATTGTACGTCTTATTTATCCCGTTTGGCGAGACTATTCCCGCCTTCTTTCTTCCTTGATAGAGTGTTGCTCTGAGTCGAACAATAGAAGAAAGTCGTTAATGCAACGCTCCAAACCTGTCCACGGTTCTTCGTCGGAACTTTTTCACCGAGCAAGAAATTAAGTAATATTATCGTAATAATTTTACAACGTTACTCCTCTCATCCTGAATGAATCACGAGTCTCAACGTTAATTCTACTCGACAAGATTCTCGTCTTTTCCACCCTTATTCAACGCCTCAACCCCAAGTTCCACGTTGGTGTATCTCTCGGGCAGTCGTTGATCGCCATAACACTTTCATTCCATTCTAATTCTGTATTCCTTTGGCCACCGTCCACACATGTTTTCTGATAATGCTTCTACCTACTCTATCCAGCCCTCAAATCCCTATTATCTCTTCACCATTTCCATTCCCTCTTGATTACACCCTCATCCCTTTCGTCCTCTCTTAACATTCCGACTCCGGTTTCCCCGTTCGCCTAAAGCCTCATCTGCCACCCCGATTCCACGTCCCCCCTCTCTCTCTGTTGCCCGTCGACGTTTCCGTTTCTCTCTGTCGCGCGACTGCTCCCCACCCCGGCCACCCTGCACCCCTCCAACGACGCCGCGTTCCGTCTCTGTCCACCCCACTTTTTCCCTCTTCGTCGGCCAGCCACTCTCATTCAAACCGAGTCGACTTGCTCGATTCAGTCGCGGTCGACCCGCCACGCTGCGAGCTTTGTCGATCGACCGTCCGCGGTTAGGCTCGTCACGTTCTGTCGCTCGAACTTCTCCAACCCCAACAAACGAAAGACAGACCCTTTGGAGGCAAAGTTCCATCGAGGGGGGATCGTGGAACCAGTGTGTGTCGCGTGTTTCCTGGATCCTATCCACCTGACAGACTCCGAAGCAACCCCTAAAACTGACCAGGACCTTGTTACACTATCCAACACCACGTTAGCCTAAGAAGCACATCTCTTGGAGGCAAAGTATCGTCGATAGGGGATTGAAACCAGTGTGTGTCGCATGTTTCGCGTGTTTCCTGGGTCCCGTCCACCTGGCAGACCGTAGGACAGCCTCTAAACACTGATCAGGACCTGGCCAGGTCATCCAGGACGAGTGCAATAACCCTCATTGTCGGCTTAGCCTGAGAGGTACACCTTTTGGAGGCAAAGGTTCGTCGATCGGGGATTGGAATCAGTGTGTGTCGCATGGTTCATGTGTTTCCTGGGTCCCGTCCACCTGGCAGACCCTAGGATATCCTCCGAACTCTGATCAGGACCTGTCCATGCTGTTCAGGACGCGTGGAGCAGCGGAGGAACAGGTGTTTCCATCGAAAGGCAGACGTCGGGGAACCATGGAGCTATTCAGGGAGTGACTCCAGTGTCGTCGGTGTGTTTTTGGCGGGAAAAGTGCTGGAAGGGTGAAATGAGACGTCCAGTGTCCTCGGTGGTAGCCGTCGATACGTGTCGCGACGCGCTGACTCGGGGTTCGTGAGCAGTGGTAGTTTGTGAGAGGCAGTTGCTAGCCAGAGAAAACGAGTGTCCCGTGAAAAGTGTGTGGGAAAACTACGTTTTTTCTTGGGATTCGAGGCTAGGATTTGCAGGTAAATGTCCTTGAGGAATGCATGAATTCTTCGTTAGTGCCAGGGTGTCCTGTTGAGAGATTTAATGTTTTGGTTTCAGTAGGGTCATCAATCTTGTAGTCTCATTCCTTTGGGATTTGAAAGATTCAGAGTTACTGTTGCAAGATTTATAGAGAATATTTTATTTTAATCTAAACGATGAGAGTACATTGGATTTAATTTGAGTCTTTGTATTGGAGCTGAAGAGTATGACGCTAGGAAATGTCACCAGGACGATTTTGTTGCCGTGTTTAGGTTTGGAACGTGACCACAATAATCACGGTAGAGTCGTGTACAAGTTGTTATGAATACCTTATTTGAATTCACTTTAGTCTCTTTAGTTAATTTACAAGTTTGAGAATTTTACGTCGCGAGTTATTTTTACGAAAAAGCTAGGCTCTTGTATTTGCCACAGACTCTTAAATAGTCAAATTATAAAATTCTCCATTGAACCTATAGAAAATTGTACATTTTGGATCTAGTGAACAGCTCATTTTAATTTATAGAAACTCAGTCATACATGTTTTCTTTGATTCGCTATGTCAGGTGTTGAAAAGTCTAATATTAGGAACTGTCATTAGGTCTCTAATTTCATTGTTGCAATCAGCCCGAAAGCACCCAGGCTCTAGGCACGTTAAACATGGCACTGTGCGTCGTTGTTTGTTATAAATATTTATGTATGCATATGAATGTTTATTTAAATTCTCGTGACACACGGAAGACTGTCATGTAATTGCTCCGTTAGGAATTCTAGAATCATATGTTGACGGATTCTGTTTAGGATATTTATACACCGCGATGGTACACTATTTATTGCGAACGTATCATCGAGCCTGAATGATTCATCAGAATCGAAGCGGACGGGCCTAAAATCGTTTCGTTCAGACTATAAAAATCAATCGTAGCGAGTCGCAATTAGGACACCCTGGCTACACGTTTTATTATTATCTATTTTTTAAACGTTTCACGGTCGAATGTTCGATACAGATCGAAACCAAAATGTCTGCAAATTAATTATCGCGTTCAGTGCTGGACAGTTACAGACGGATGATCGATCTTTATCGATTATCCTATCTCGACGAGAAACATGATCGAGTTCTGGCAAGCGATTCGGTCGTTGGGGGAGGAATTTGGCTAGTGTCACGGGCCAATTTGCGGGGGAGGGATAGATTTTGCTGGATACACGATGCATTTGGATCATTGAATCGGTTTTCCAGCGGTTAAAGGACGTTTTTGATCAGCGGTTGGCACGCGTTAGATGCGGTCTTCCATTAACGATGAATTTCCTAGGGACATATCCAAGTTGTTCCTTCGATTTATTTACCGTGTGCTCCTATTATTAGAAATTGCATCAATTTTACTATACCAACCAACATTTTTCTTTGTTTATTACATTACAATTGAATTAAAAAAGAACTTCTCGACTCTCGTCAAAACATTACTGTTTATTTACCTTACTTTATTCTTATTTAATTTGTATTAATTTTTTGTTTTCATCTTTATTTTATTGGTCCTTTGTTAGACTGGTTTCTTTTGAAAAACTTTATCTCATTCTGAGACACCATTTTACCTCGGACTCGAGAATAAAAAGAGAAATAGAATTGTCACCCCATATATGTGATGTTTCTACAGTTCACTATAAGTCTTTCACTCCATTCTACCCAATCTACTCTAAAAGTATATAAACATTCTACACTTTGTAGAAAATCATTGAGCAATTCTTTTAAATTTATTTAGCGGATCTAAAAATGCAACTTAAATAGCAAATTTATAAAAAAAAAAAATCGAAATTCTATTGCGAATGCATGTTGCTGTCAACGTCGAAATGATCAGAGTAAACAATCATTACGACAAAGAAGAAATCCTAATTGAGTTTCGATCGGTGGCTCTCGATCGATCTGCGTCCAATTTATTAATAGAAACCAGACCATGTTCAGAGTGCTCTAAACCTAGAGTAATTTCACCCGAAACGTAACTTTTCGTACGAGTAATTAGAAACGCGTGGGAACTCGATACGCGGGAATAGAAACGTTCAAAATTTTCATGGATCTCGTATCAATTTCTTAATACGCGTTGAAAGGGACCCGTGCTATTTGGTGCAGAATTATGCGACACAGAGAGTCAGCGGTTTAGTTTCAGCGAGGTGGATTGATTGGAGTTCGGTTTACCGGCACGTGGAAACGCGTTCGGTCGATTTTCCGCGGCGAGAAAAATTCTGCAACGCGGACAGGTTTTAAACTGTAATCAATTCTCTGTTACCAGGATGGGCCCATACATTTTTTAGCTTTTCCCCTCGAATTTTCTGACCGACTAGATTTACTCTATTTAGGAGGACTGCCCAACTAATTTTTTGGTCCATTAAAAACCAACGAAAACAGTCATTTTTATTATTTCTTCGTTGTTTGGTTACCAGAACTTATAGAGTTCTGTCAGGCATAGTGTTTCATAGTTCCTGTATCTGCAATTTCAAGAAGATATTTTGTAAAACGATACTTTCAAATTCAACAGATTTAATTTTAAATTTAAGTTGCAATTTATTGAAAAGAAAATTGGAAAATAAGTAAGATTGTAGATGTACTGTTAATTATTGTTAAACGAGAAGCTGTTTTATGATGAATTATTAAATTTTATTACGAAGTGATCCTCCACGTTTTATTGAAACGAAATAGCAGATAAATTTTGTTCGAGGTAATTCGATCGCGTTTTATGATCTCAGGTGATATTTAAACGTCCAGTTAGTACGGGACAAATTCCGTTACTTTTATGTTAATGAATTATAAACAAAATTAATATATCCCCTTTCGGTTTGAATAATGAAAGAAGTAATGCTGTCGTCCGTCGATGCGAGTGATAAAATTATACAGAAACGCGGGATGGGAAAGTACGTTATTTATGTTTATATTCGAATGTCCGTAGCCCGGTGACAAACGCGAAGGAATTTATGTTTATTTTCATTGTTGGACCCTGAACATCGACGAGATCGTGATCCACAAAATTTCTGTGCCGATCTATAACTTACGTTAAATCGTGAAAATATTTATTTGTTATTTTAGTTCCTTTCTTACGAACGTAATTCACCCAACAACAATAAGAACGACAGAAATAGTTGTTAGATATCAATTTTTTAACAATCATTTAAAAGAATTTATACTTTTCTGGAATAATTCAAATTTAATATAATTATTTCGTGTATTTTTCTACTTTGTGTAAAATGTTGTAAAATTTCGTACAATAAAGTACACGAAGTTTCTTGTTATTTTGTACAGAAATATATTTCATCAAAAGCGGTCCATACCAACAATACTAAATCGAACACGCTAGAAAGTTCTGTAACTGATAATTAACTGTTGCATTTTGTAAGAATAAAAATACATTTTTCATAGAGGTAATTCCAGTAATATTAACGGCGGAAGGAAAAGTCGCGAAAAAATCCCGTTTCCTCTGGATACAAGTTAGAAGGCCCCTGTAGCGATAACAATAGATTTCTCATTTTTGCAAAAAGCACAACTTTATTTTCACGTGTCTGTCGTAACCAAATTTTCGTCGAAACGTTATTGCACTCTTTGTATGAAATTCCATTGTTTTCTGGACGCGTTCAAACTTGATTGAAAAATTACTGCTACGGGGAAAGAGTTTTCATAGAAGGAGGCGTTGGCAACTTCCGATCCGTACATAGTACATGGAAACAACTGAATTTGCATGTACTAGCAAAATATTTTATGCGCATTCTTTTCAATTTTTATAACAATTAAAAGAAGTGTTATTTTTATTAAATCATGTATCATAGTTTGAAAATTTTTTAAAATATTTTATACACATTCTTTTCAATTTGTATAACAATTAAAAGAATTGTTATTTTTATTAAATCATTTATCATAGTTTGAAAATTTTTCAATCAATAAGTATCCTAACATCATTTAAAGGAGGATCGTTTAAATTGACAAGACTGTAAATAACACGCGATCCAATAATTACGTTATCGATGACACCTGATTAAACGTTTAGAGACCATCGATACCGAAACATCACTGTTCGCTGTCGACGTGAATTTTCAGGGGGCCAATAATGCAAATTATGTCTGCTCGAGTAACCAGTGTTGGTAATTGTTGTAAATAGACTTGGGATACTATAGACACAGTCAATTGTGTAAAGCGATTATCACTCCATGTCGGGGATATAACTACAGTTTCCACAAATAGTTCCGATATTATCTCGTATTTCAATTGTTCTTACAACAGAAAATAATTAAAACAAAATTGATGAATAATACCACAACCTTAAATTAAATCTCCTTCCATTACTACTTGTGCTACAATTTTCTACCAAAAATATGTTGTAATCTTTTTTCATATAACACACCCTGTATATTAAAGAAAAAAGATTAGAAAAATTCTCTCGATTACAATATGTTTTATTTTCGTCAAAATTTTTTTTTCGGACACTTTTACGACTGCTGACGCCACTGTACGGCGTCGTACAAATTTCAGCCGCTAGAGAGCGCTGGTACCGCATTGGCGTCGCACGAATTTCAACCGCAAAAAGGCTTCAGAGTCTTCATTGACTATTTTCTATTATATTACAGCCTCTCGTTTTGCAAATTTGTTTTAAATTTCAAAAAGGAGAACCGAGTGAGAGGTGTGCCCCGTTCGAGGCGACGTTGACCTAACCTGGCCATGTGCACGAACGTCAGTATCGTCGTGAACGAGCATCGAACGGGAATGTTTCGCGTAGGTCGGTCGGTCGATTTCAATTTAGTCGTGGAAAGTGGTGACATTGGTTCCCGATGTCGTGTCGGCAGAACGAATTTGTTTACCTGGTTGGCGCGCGTCGCTCAGGAAAATTCTATTTAGCAAATAAGATCGTATCGCGGGCCACGATACCGTTTTCGCGTGACAGCTGGAATAAAAGTGTTCCACCGGTTATTTGTCACCGAGTGCATTCTACACAGTGCGTTTCACCACAAACAAAATACCATAATACCC